CGACGGTAACAATATTTTAAAATATATACTTCAACATAACAATTTCATGATAGTTACTGGCGACTTGCACTCCATCTCAAAAACCGCCGCTCTGCGCATCGCATCCCACGCATGGACCCGCCACGTTTTTCCTGCGAATGTTGTCAGTGGATTCAGAACATCGGGGATTTACCCCCTGTCCCTGGAGCAGATGAGGCGCCGTTTCGAGCTTTTTAAGCACGGAGGTACCCCGTCGACTCACGTCGAGGTCGAGTGGATCGAACACCAAGCTACGATACGGAGTGAATTACTACTCTTACCCTCCAAGGGAAAAAGACGGACTGGACGAAAAAGGATTGATGTCGGTGGACGGGTCCTTACCCTCTCGCTGCTTGCCGAGGTTGACACCACCAAGGAAGAGCAGATTGCCGCTGTCAAACAAAAGAAGTTGCTTCAAGCCAAGCGAGCGAAAAAGAAGGCCAAACGAGGACATGGTGCCGGTGTCGATGGCGCCGCCGACGGACATGATGGCGTGGCTGCACTGGACTTGATCGCATGTGCCCCTATCGGAGCTTAAGTTAGTGGTGATGTTGGCCAGACTGTATTTGTGATCTAGATTGCCATAAGAGAGGAGTTTGGATGGTCGTATACCGTTTGGGTTGTGCTTTGGAAAGTTGGTGCTTTGGAAAGTTGGTTGCATCGCGGCTGGTCAAGTCGAAAGTAAAGGTTGGTTTCAAATTCCCTCTGATTAAACATAACCTTGTATAAAAGCATGTTTACCAGTTGAGACATTATACCCTAGACACAAAATTTCTATGCATAGAGCCATACATACTTAAAGATAAAATTACACAACAAAGATTGGCACACGCAACTATATAGATTTTGCATACAAAATCGAATATAGATTTGCCATTTTAAGCGTGAAACACAATAATTTGGTACCCCAGAAATAGTGCGCTTTATCCTCGATATAATGCTCGATTCAGGGTACAAATCGGATCCCTCAGGCAAGAGAAATGTCGATTCTTGACAAGTGGAAAAATGTGGTACAGCATAGATTGGCATTTTACGTTATTGTCGATTTGATTCAAATTTGGGGAGGGGGTGCAATCGAATTGCGCCAACCGAACTGATCCACAATCGATTTGATTGGTTGAATTTCATTGAGAAGGTTTTGATTGGCTAATAATTTTGAGCTCATCTGAAGTAGCCAATCAAATCGATTTAAATTCCAACGAGAAACCACGAAATTTCACTCGAAAGCACAATATTTACTACTAGTAACATTTTCGGGGGCATCCAGACTCGGGCTAAAGTTTTTGTCTGTCAGAAAATCGTCAATGAGCCACCTTGTTACTTTTTAATATCCAATCAGAGTCCATCACACCTCGTTTCTTACACATGATTGGCTATAACAGTGGCAGCAGAGGTTACCTGTTTTGACGCTTGAATATTGTGAAGCTTTGTGTGATGCTCCGGAGAACTGTGCACTGACGAGTTCACCCCGACTTTTTCCAATGTAGTTCTCCCCTTACGAATAACATTATGTTGGGTCGCAATGCCGTGGCCGCTCTGGTGGACCAACGCCGTGACGCACCCACGTGATCACACAAGCAGGGAGGTGTACGGCACCGACACGGACTAGATGGTGGAATGAGGGATGACCACATTCATTGGGTTAGTAACGTTAGGCAAGTGGTGATGTTACTGAAGTCTAGACCTGTTCGAATTGACCGAGTCCGGGATACCACATCGCATGATCTTGATCTTGCTCTCATACACAGCCTACAGTACATAATTATCTCAATGCTCCTTGCATCAACCGCCATCACAGGAGTAGAATATATCGCAACAGGGTGTGATGAATCTACGCAGCAATTTTCGTGATTTCACGGCATCTGATTAGTCAAATTGGACAATTTTGAATTCACAAAAGGTGACCTCCAAAAACAGACAGACACATGAAAAATAAAAATCAACAATACAAACTTGAAGATATATTTAATTGAAACTATACAATTTCAGATCTATTTATGGAATTCGCAAGGTGGTTCACCTTGCGCAGCATACAAAATTGCCTATTTCACCTTGCTTTTTCTGGTTAATATGCAAAATATCCAGTGTACTCTATCGCAGAATACATGCGCTAACAGTACACAATCGTGTGCAGTACTACAGTACTTTACTGTTGTCTGCGCGACTTTGAACCATGTCAGCCGTCCCTCTCTTGGACCTTCGACTGGACTCGGATGCATATGTGGCCCTCGTACTACGTCGAATATTATCTTGAAGGCCTCGCATGATCGTTGGACTCGATTGGGTTCAATGCGTTTGACGAAGCCATGCGCCAAGTCAAGGGTGTTAGCGTGCCGTTCTCCATCATGGGCAGGTATGTCCAGTACTAGTAGTGTAAGTACTAGGTACGACGATGTTCGGTAGTTTGCCGTTGGTGCGGGACCTTCAACGTGCGGGGCTGGACTTGACCTTGACCGGGTTTGGCAAGAGCGCAGTGTACCACGGCGACAACGAGTACTGTTTGCTCAGGGACATGGCCGACGCCCTTCGAGTTGTCGGTAGGTTTATCCACAACGTCGACGTCGCGTAACGGAATATTCCATGGATCAAGGGGTGCCAATACATGTGATTCTGTGTGTTTCCTCCATGTGGCCAGCCCCCGTGCATCGGATGTTGTGCGATGTTGTCTACGTGGATACCGCCAGGGGGATCATGCCGATGACAACCGTCCAGAGGAGCCGATCCAGGAGACCACCCTTCTGGCCTTCGAGCACAAGAAGTTGCAGCAGTGAAACTGTTGGCATAAATTATCCGGATAAACGTGGAGGCCAATCATAACGCGGGATTAAGGACACGTTTTACTATATCCACGCATACTGTTTTCAGTATACTACCGTACTAGTATACTTTCATTGTATAAACACGTTTTATGGGTACGTTTAACTCGAGGTGGCGGGAATATTGTCATTTGGGCAGGAAACGTTGGAAGTGCCCGCCCGCATGCGCCGACGAGGGAATTCAAAATGCATGGGATGCGAAGTTCCCATCTTCGGCGCCGGAGCCAAGTATTGCGAGCGATGTACCATCACCCTGTCCTTGAGTCTCGATGCGACCCGAACCACCATGCGATCGCGGAAGAACATCGCTCAAGCAGTTGACATCGTGGAAGTCCTGTCATCCGACGAAGAACGGGAACAGCTACGACTCCAGCAAATCGAAAACGCCGAGGAGATCAGCGACGACGATATGGACGCGTCTTCGGACGAAGAGTTGTCGGACGATCTTCGCACGGACGACCTCCGTGTCCTAGCTACCGATGGCGATGGAGTATTTCGCGCGCAAGTTGACAACCGTAACATTCTCCGATCAAGGACGTTTGCACGGTATCGCTTCCGAATCAACGATTTTCCCATTTCCACTCCATTGGTACCCGCGAGTGCTGTACCTGCAGGTGCATCATCGACCTCCGTCCCGGAATCGACCACCATCATCACAAACCATACGTCCCATGGCAGGGGCAAGAAGCGTCCAATCGTTACATCGACCACGCCAACCAAGAAGAAGGCATCGTCCAAGAAGCCTGCATCAGCGTACCAAGGTGCGATCGACCCTGCCTTGTTGCATTACATTCAAAACCCCGAGGACTATGCTGCAAGCGAATACGAGAGCAGCGCTAACGACGCTGACGACAATGACGCCGACAACTTGATCGACCTCGCACACAGCGACGGCAGTGCCACCGAGGACGAGGAGTACGGAGCCAGAAACAGACGGCGGCGGCAGCACCCTGCGGTCCCCGACGAGCCGTGCTTCATCTGCGAGAGCCGCAGCGCGCCCAACGGCGGCAGGTCCATGCGCGTGCAATGCCCCGACTGCGAAGGTATCTACCATCGCTCTTGTGCCGACGCCCACGACGGCAACCAAACGGGGTGTCTCCAGTGTGCAGACGACGACCTGATCGACGACAGCGAGCTCACCGAGGCCGATTTGGCCACGACATCGCATGTATTTGGCGCGTTTCACGTCAAGGACGAGCCGGACCCGACATCCTCTGCGGACAGTTTACCCCCCGCGAGCCACCTGTCGCCGTCCCGACTCGACGACGACGACGCCGACGACGACATGGTGGACAGCGGAACGCTGCCGGACGTTGTACCCGACGCGTCCCACGTCAAGCAGACGATTCTGGACGGATGGAAGAAGTTCCTGGACATTCACACGGCGGCGTTCGACGCGGATTTCGTCGCGGCCACCCGCGCCATCGAAGCCGCCAACGGGTTCCAAACCACCCTCGAGTCTGATTTGCACAAGTTGTTTCAGCATTACACGACCGAGCAAGCCAAAGCCGAAGAGCTCGAGCGCACGCAGGCGGCGGCGGCTGCCTCTTCAATCGGCGCGGCGTCGTCCTCTCCGTGTAAAAGTGCGGTGCACGATGAGGCCAGTCCACCCGACACGTCGATCGAAGCCAACGGCCACGAAATCCATCACGATGACACGGCGGCGGCGGCGACTTGTCCAGAGGAAGCGACCATTGATCTTACAAGCGACAATGACGACGAAGATGAAGTTGTCGAGGTGTGTGGAACGCTTCCGTCGGCAAGTCCGGCCGTGGCTATCAACGCCACCAGTGTTAAGCCCCATAGTGTCAGTCCAACCAACACAGTCGGTCGGCCTCCCGACGCGGACGCCAATGTCGCCTTCGTACGTAACCAGCCCCCCCCCGACATATCGGATCTACCTCCGAAGAAAGCCAAGCGACGGATTCCGCTTGTGAGTGTTGTCCCATCCCGTCCTCTGCAACCCAAAGCCCGGCCGCAAGACCCCCGTCGACCGCTCTCGACGGTCGTTGCTGCGTCGGCATCTCCACCACTCCCTTGACGACCACGACCACGACGTTATGAGTAGTCTAATACAGTCACCCTTTGCTTTGATTGGGTGGTCTACATATTAGCACAGTTATTGCACTGTGAACATGACCAAGGTTAAGCCAAGTCGACGTTGTGAATGAATCGGTTGAGGATGCGCAGGCCATCCTTCATATCGCTGAGCAAGCAGTACTCGTTGTCGCCATGGTACACGGAACTCTTGCCAAACCCGGTGAGGGTCAAGTCGAGGCCGGCGCGCTGGAGGTCGCGCACCAGCGGCAGACTGCCCATGATCGCGTACGGCACACTCACGCCCTTGACGAACTTGGTCGCTTCGTGGAAAGACTTGAAGCCGATCGAGTCGAGGGAGCACGCGATGCCTTCGAGTGCGTTCTGGGCCAGCGTCAACTCGATCGTCCCGACCAAGTTCTCCTTGGGCAAAGTGTACTTGGAGTGGGGACCGCGCGACTCGAGCGACGAAATGTTGGCGTTCAAGTCGTTCACGTACGATTGCAGCTTGTCACGGACCTAGTACGCAGAGCTCACCATCAATGAAATATCGACATAATATATATGTATGTCCACATATATACATGTATATATATATATATATATATATATATATTGTTGTATTCATTCTAAACTGGAGCGACATGGAGAATGAATCGACACAACCAAATGTATACAAATGTATCGTCGGTAGAAGAATTTAGCCAATCAGATTGCAGGAAAACCTTATACACATACAATTAGTGTGTGTAACTTCAATTAGTGTGATACGAATCACCAAAAAACTCAAAATTCATGAATCGATCAATAGATTTGGCGAATCAAAAGTCAATCAAATTTTGGGTAAATTGACAATATAAGAGAGCAAAAGTGACAACGTACGTCTTGCATTTCGTAGAACGGCGACAGTCGGACGTCGCCCGAAATCTTGGTCCACGGAGGGCTAGAGTAAATCATTGTTATAATAGTAAATCATTGTTATAACATGCCCATATAAGAGGGTGGTCGTACATTTGGTTGATGCCGTTGGTGGAACTTTCAATCTACGGGGGCGTTAGATCTTGTGCATGCAAGGCACTAACTGTCGTGAGTATTTGCTTACCTTGGTGGGCTTCATGGTCGACCCACATGCAAAGTTGTATGGGATTTCGCCTTCATGGGCTGGGAAGTCCTTGTAAAAGCGGTCTTGGATCACTTTGATCGCGTCCATCGCGAGTTCCAGCGCATTCATGCCAAGATGCGGCAGTCCGCTGTGGAAGAGCTTCCCCGTCGCCTTGATCGACCACGTCAACGCACCAGCTACGGTCATGTTTCCATGCTCATTAGCTCCAGTATGGTTTGTACATGAAAAAAGAAGGGAATAACGTGAAGTTACCTGTGCCGATGCACGGCTGGCTGTCGGAGCAATCAACCCACAGCACGGGGCCGTTCTTCAAAAAGTCGATTTTGCCCGTTTCCATCAACGTTTCGACGCCGACGCCGGCGATTTCGCCGTTTTCTTCCGACGCAATCATCACCGCCGTCACGGTCTTTTGGGTCACAACTTTGTGCTTGGCCAGTTCCACAAACAATTCTAACATGCACAACGAAGAAGAAGTGAATAGTTATCCCCGTGAAATGGAACGGATGCATACGTGTGACAAGAGCGACGTGGCCCAAGCAATCGGTAGTTCCGCGCCCGTACAACTTGTCGCCTTCCACGCTCAACGTGAACGGATCGCGCTCCCATCCTTCCGGGTTGGCGGGCACGACGTCCAAGTGGGACCCGACGATGTTGATGGTTTCGTCGGCCTTGGTCGTGCCTGCGTACTTGAGGATGAGGTTTCCTCGTCCTTCCTTGAATCCAATGCGTTGCGCGTCGATGGCACCGCCGTTTTGCTTGAGGTAGGGCTTGAGTTCCTCCAAGACAAAGTCAGTGACCAAGTCTTCCCGGGGAATGAGGCCCAGGCCCGGCGCGTTTTGCACTTTTTCCTAAAGCATGTCACCACCCGTGTCAGACAAAGATCAAGGTCATCATGATGCACGGCACGCGTGTCTTACAGAGACGCTGATGAGCTTGGTGAGGAGCGCCACGTACGCGCCTTCGTTCAGGGTGATGTCCAGGAGGCTGCTCATGCTGTTTGCTTGTCCAGGCAATTCCAAAAATAAGCCTTGTTTCGAAGATGTCGACCCCCATTCGCCGTGTATTATATTATTATCTTGACATTTGTATGGTATCCAAGATATTTAATGTATCTCACACTCCAAAGCTGAGTTTTAGGTCTGGACCAATCACAATGCACGATAATATTCATTTAGAAAGGTTCAACCAGAACAGTAGTATCCTGAAAGAAACATGAAAAGGTCGCCACATCATCATCTTCTTCCTCTTAGGCCGAGTCGACGTTGTGGATGAAGCGACCGAGGATGCGCACGGCGTCCTTCATATCGCTGAGCAAGCAGTATTCGTTGTCTCCGTGGTACACGGCGCTCTTGCCAAAACCCGCCAGGGTCAAGTCGAGCCCGGCGCGCTGAAGGTCACGGACCAACGGCAAGCTAGACACTCGAGCGAAGAATGAGAGGGGGCAATGGATGAGCAGCGATGGGAATAGTTGTACCTGCCCATGATGGAGAAGGGTTCGCTGACACCCTTGACTTGGCGCGTGGCTTCATCAAACGCCTTGAACCCAATCGAGTCGAGGGAGCACGCAATTCCTTCCATGGCATTCTCCGCAAGCGTCAATTCCAACTTGGCGACCAAGTTCTCCTTGGGCAACGAATACTTGGAGTGCGGACCGCGCGACTCGAGCGACGTGATGTTGGCGTTCAAGTCGTCCACGTACGCGTTCAACTTGGCACGCAGCTACATCCATCCCGACTATGAGTTCGATAGCATTCAAAGTCCAGTGGTTCGTACGTCGTGCACTTCGTAAAACGGAGACAGACGCACGTCGCCCGTCACTTTGCACCACGGCGGACTACACATTGTCACAAGTCAGCCTTGTCACACAAATAGTGGCCGTACATTTGGTTGATGCCGTTCGTGGAGCTTTCAATCTACTCACACATGACCAACGAACGTTCATAACTGGCATGGAAGGAGTATCATCTTCATACTCGAGTAGGCTTCATGGTCGACCCACATGCAAAGTTGTATGGGATTTCGCCTTCATGGGCTGGGAAGTCCTTGTAAAAGCGGTCTTGGATCACTTTGATCGCGTCCATCGCGAGTTCCAGCGCATTCATGCCAAGATGCGGCAGTCCGCTGTGGAAGAGCTTCCCCGTCGCCTTGATCGACCACGTCAACGCACCAGCTACGGTCATGTTTCCATGATCATGACAAGATGATCTCACAAGTACCTGTGCCAATGCAAGGCTGGCTGTCTGACGTGTCGACCCACAGCACTGGGCCGGTCTTCAAAAAGTCGATCTTGCCCGTTTCCATCAACGTTTCGACGCCGACGCCAGCAATATCGCCGTTTTCTTCCGACGCAATCAGCACCGCTGTCACGGTCTTTTGGGTCACAACGTTGCGCTTGGCCAGTTCCACAAACAATTCTAACACGAAATGGGTTCATGAGAGTTGGAGGGAGGGTCAAGACATGTATACGCGTGACAAGAGCGACGTGGCCCAAGCAGTCGGTAGTTCCGCGCCCGTACAACTTGTCGCCTTCCACGCTCAACGTGAACGGATCGCGCTCCCATCCTTCGGGGTTGGCGGGCACGACGTCCATGTGCGACCCGACAAAGTTGATCGTTTCGTCGGCCTTGGACGTGCCCGCGTACTTGAGGATGAGATGTCCTCGTCCTTCCTTGAATGCAATGCGCTGAGCTTCGATGGGACCCCCTTGTTGCTTGAGATATGGCTTGAGCTCTTCCAACACGATGTCGGACACGAGATCTTCTTGGGGAATGAGGCCAAGACCTGGCGCGTTTTGCACTCTTTCCTATGCATTTGACGTGTGAGTAGACGATATCGATGAGAACGGTCGTGTCTACTGTACCGAGACGGTCATGATCTTGCGCAGAAGCGTGATGTACGCATCTTCGTTCAGAGTCAGGTCGAGGGCCATTTTCACGAACTGTTGCGCGAAGCGAACGAACTGTTGCGCGAAGCGAAAACGAAGATGTCAAATAAGGTAAATGTCCCGAGATGTTTTGCGACAGACCTTGAACCAACAAAGAAATGTCATTTATCGTCCAAAAATGATATTGTGAATTCACCAAATTTGCTCAAAACCGATCGGTTTCGGGCAAAAATAGAAAAGAGCAAAAATGGATTCTGACTCCAGAATACCACCAAATGCCGAAAATTCACAAGAACACTGGTATTGTGTTATTGGCCACATCCTGGCCATTGGAACTATATCATTGGTGTACATTGGCTTTTGCCCACTATCTATACTTTATAGGCATTTGACAGTCAGATAAAACGAAAGACAACGTGCTATTTTGAAGTATTCTGACCGAAATGTTGCAGCACGTCATGTCGACGCATTCTTGGCGGCGATCGCGCCAGGGTTACAGAATACGACGCGTTCCGCTGCAAGCTTAGTGCGCGATTGTAGGGTGATCATAGACGAAGATGTCCATGTCATTACATATCATATATGTAGCACTGCGGGAGGAAGCGTGTGTAGTTGAGGGCAAAATGCACAATGAATTAACTGAAGATCTACAAAGATCTCCTTAATCCTCATCACTATGAAATCTTCTTAATCTACTTCACTACTTCTACACTAATATGCACTTTTGTATACAATGGATGCGGGTGCGGTTGAGACATTGGGGAACTTCACTAGGCTAGCGATTCTAAGCCATACTTGCCCTTGAGACACATTCCCAGGCAAGCATTAGCTAGGGTTCGTCATGAGCCAGGTACTTAGGAGCTGGGTGCGGGCAAGGTGGTGGCAAGCCGTTAACCCACCTGTCACATCGCTACAATATAACTTTACTGGAGGGCAAGATATACGCTTCATAACTCATGGTTCTTTCGATGTTGCAGCGGGTTTTTGACGAACACATTGAGTTATGCAAGGATGAGATACAAGTAACTTGGTACTGACTTGTACAAGGATGAGATACATGTAACTGCGTGTATCTAAGTTAACGTCGCTTTTGTCAGCTGCATACACAT